CTGAGATGCCAAGGCATGTGGTGACAGCATATAAAAGTTTTAAATAAATAAGAAATAACCACAGGCCGAAGCTGACGGGAGGAAAGGAGTAAAACGTCTAGCAGGTTGGGGAAAGCTTCTGGATCCTTGCCTTCATCATTCCTGCCTCTCCTGTCCCTCCTCTAGTTTTAGACTGTAAGCTCCTTGAGGCAGGGACCTGCCAAGGATTGCAGGGGAGGGGAGGCCATCTGACTGTCCAAGAATCAACCAGTACTGATGGTGCAACGTTAAGCCACATTCTTAGGGATACTTTCAAAGCCCGAAATACCAGGATGCAATAAATCTGGGAAGCGACTAAACTTGGGAAACCTTTTGTTTGGAATGATCTGATTTTAGCCATCTTCATGGGGAGAGTGAAAGCCCAACCTTTAGCCAGCCTTGTTCTTGCCTGACTTGGGCACAAGGAAAATCTGACATCTAAGTAGCAAGCAAAAGCTCTGTGTGTGTGTGTGTGTGTGTGTGTGATTTGATGCCGCCATCCCTCGGGGTGGGGGGGGGGGAATGATAAGGAAGGGGGCGGGTTACAAAATGCTAGAGAGCACTGGGGAATCCTTGGTGGAGAAAACCCCTTCCTGGCATGGGGCCACGAAACTCATGTCCCCACTCTAAAATCAGCCAAACCTCTTTCATCTCTGCTAGCCGGAGGCCTCGGCATCTCCACCTAGATCCTTAGCCAAGCTATGGCCACTCGGGCTCATTCCACGCACCATGTGCTTCACCAGAGCCATTATTCAATCCGCTTCCCAGCTTTCCTTCTTCTAAGCTGAAGGAGCAGGCCAAGCTCCTTTAATCTTTATGCAGAAAGATAAGCTCTCTCCCCCCACTGGGCCACTGCATGAATGCTCTTCTCCCATCCGATCAGGTCTTCCCACCTTCAGGGCAGGGATCCAAGAGGATGAAGTATCTGGCCTTGGCAGGGCCTGGCGGAACACCCACTGGCCCCCTTCCTATCTCCTGGCACCAGAGCCCAGCTCCAAGGCTCCGCGAAGCCTGGCCGAAGGATGATGTACCCGGCAGCTCTGCACAAGGGCTTGGAAGGATCCGGGTGCAGGCCACCGTGCGGCTTGCACCGTCCGTAAAGCACCGGGCTCTCCTCGGAATGCAGGGGACAACGGAAGAGACACCACCTGAAGCAGGCTGTGCATGGGCCCGCAGAACCCTGAACGTGGACACGGAGGCTCGCTCACTAGCCATTATCCTTACTGCCATTTAAACCCAGCTAATTTTAGTCGGTCCTAAAGCAGATTAGAACTGCAGAAGCCCAGTAAGCCAATTTTAGAGCAAAACAAGACTGTTAAATGCGACACAAAGAGCAGGCGGAAGCGCATCATGCGCCAATGGCCCTCTTTCTAGCATGGTTTTGCTTTTGAGGGGGCCTTCCATGCCATTACGGGGCTCATGGAGCTCCTTTTTCTCTTTTTAATTTTTCATTAAACTAACAAAAACAATGCAATTAATATAGTAACAATAAACATAATTAAACAATACATCAATATCAGCGCTACCTCCACCAAGACCAACAACTCCAGTTACTTAATGCAAGATCATGCATTCATTCAGGTTGCCCTGAATGCTTCCAGAAATGCTCTGACTCTTGCGGTGGATCTCACCCCCTTCCTTTTATTAAAACATCTTCAATAAAAGGTCTCCAAATATTTTCAAATTTGTTTTCACTTATCAAATTTTTTTTCCATTTAATATCGCAAGTTAACATCATTAATAGCTATCTTCCACACTTCTTTATGCCAGTCAAGTACATGATATTCATCTTTTATTTTCCAATTCCTTGCTATTATTAATCTGAAGTTAACCTATCTTGAATTCCCTTTGGACGTGCTTTACAAGTGACCAAGCCTTATGCTCAACGGAGAGGAGGCAACAGCCGGAGGAAGCAGCCATGAGAACAACCACAAATCGTGCTGCGCAGGTTTAAGTGCCACACACAGCGCTGGTTTTCAGAGCTGTTTGGAGGCTCGCCAGCAGCCCCACAATAACAAGGTCCCGGACACCCATGTGTAGCTACACGAGGCTGCCCGCACACTCCGAGGCATGTGGGCATCTGGTGCAGCCATGCGCACAACATTTGTGGCCAACCGCCCTGCTGGCTGGAGTTAAAGGCTCACACATCTGAAGGCCCCTGGCATGTAACGGGCGCTCCAGAATCTGCTCTGAGGCTCATGCTGGGCTGACGCATAGAACCTCCCTGGCAGATGAGCTGGTTTGGAAAGAGTGCACTGTCAGCTTCACTCTGAAAGGCACCGACAACCAGCACTGGGCCACTGCCTTGTTCAGCATCCGAGGGGCCTGCACTTCGGCAAGGCACAGTTACACTTGGCCTGTGCACTGTTTGAGTTATTTTGGGGGAAGGCCAGATTTTTCTAACAGGAGGGTAAGACGCTCATGTTTGCGATGTCAACGTGATTCATTGAGGTCCCTCTGGAAAACAATCAACTACGGAGAGCTGGAAAATTTATGTATTTCTTTCTGGAAAACCTTACCAACCTGGACACAAGCACACCAGCTGGGTTCACAAAATACAAGCAGCCCTGTGGGTGACTGCGCTTCATGGTTTTTTACCACAATCTCCCCAGCAGATGAGTACATGGTTTCTCTGACGTGCTGATGGTATACATCCCATCAACCACTAAGCCTGAAATTCAATCCCAAGGGCATCACTCCCTGCCTATGTCACCTGCCTCTTCCTCCTTGGTCCACACATAGAGGCTGGATGGCTGGAGTGGCTTCTCCAATTGCCACTCTTTCCAGAGGACTCTGTGGTATTTGCATACAACCATCATGGAAATCAAGATCCGGGGTTCAGATGGCACAACAAGCCATTTTGGTGCAGAGAAACCCTAGAATAAGCCATTGCTTCTTATATAGCAGTTTCGAAAGACCAAGCTTATCATAGTGAAATAAGACTGGATTATATATCACAACAGACCAACAATGGTTAAAAACTACTGTGGTTTGTCATGTCACCTGGACTCAGCAATGGCTGGTTGTGAAGGCACAACATGCCTCTCTTACCCTAAGGACACTTTTACAAAAGGGTTATGACTATGAGCAAACAGTTTCTACCAAGGGGTTCGTAAAATCTCACCCCCAACCGTGGAAGCTGCTTTGAAAAAATTAAAAGCCTTAATAGATATTGAACCTTGTTTCATCACTCTTGTGTTCAAACAGCAAATACCCTGGAACAATGATGTGCTCAAGTCAGCAAGTGGTGACTCATCCTTTCACTCTAAATAAGCTACCAAGCACCAAAGATTGTTTTAGCAATTCCATTCCAAAAAGATGCCACTCTCGCTTTACTAACTACCAGACCGTGTAATTTCACAACAATCAGGCTGCATTTCCGTAGCTGACTGGGGGAATAAACCCCACCTGAATCCTGTTGGATTAATATTCATGTAAGCTGCAACAGAACTTAGCATCAGATATTTACTGTTACATTTCTATACCACCCAGTAGCAAAGGTTCTTGGGGAGGTTCCCAAAATAAAACTAAGAACTATACAGCAGAGCAGCAAATGTAAAAAAACTTTAATATGTTTAAAGTAACAAAAGAATAAAGGCAAAAAGAAAACTACCTGCAGTGCAAGAGCTGAAAAACATTAATACTGTGTTGTTAAAAATCAGAAAAACGATGGGCAAAATTCTTTGCAAGTTCAGACAACTGCACTGGCTGGGGTACACTGGGCTTTTCTTGCATGAGACTGCAGTGTAAACAACTTGACAGAAAAAAAAGGTGATAGGAAAATACAAGCAGAAAAAAAAGGGGGCCAGAAGGGACTCATTCCAAGACCCGAAGGTCCCATAGCAGCGGAGGGGCAGTGGCCATTCCAGACTGCCCACTAGCAACTTTCTCACTGTGCCAAACACCATGGGAAGACAGCAGTGGGTGGGGGTCTCCGGATCACCTGCTGGAGATAGTGCTTCATGCTCACTGCATTCAGATCCAGAACCCCCAGCCTCATGTGGAGACCCACCTGATAACTTCATCACTTGATGCTGCTGCAACCCCCCTTAAGCCAGAGGGTGGGTCTCCCAAGCCCACCAACCAAGGCAAACTGACCCTCCCCAACCTGTTGGCCTCTGGGAGGGCCAGATTATTACAGCCCCATCCATTATGGCTGTTGGGTGTACGTTACTGTCAACCACATCTGGCAAACCCAACCTTCAACAACCATTTACACAAAACACTAGAAACCGGAACTTACCAGCCCAGCATTTATTGAGCGGACTCACACAACATGAGCACAGATACTGTATCAGATTTCTTAACACCTTGTATGGTTTCAACCCGCAGAGGCAGGCACTTCAGGGATCGGGAAGGAGAACAGCTCAGTTCTCAATATTCCTAGTCCTCATGAGCTGTAGGCAGAGCCTTAAAAAGTATCTGCCTTAACACAGGCTGCAAACCTATAGGGACACTTTCCTGGGCGTAAATCCCGCTGAATTCACGGGGCTTGCTTTCGGTTAGCCTTAAAAGGATTGCATTGTTGAAGTTACAGAGAAGTATCAGTTCGTGCGTGGTGTGTGTGTGTGCATACATCCCACTGTTTTGCATTTTTTTTTATTAAGAAAGCCACGGGGTTTTACTGGAGGCCCTCACGCAGCTTTCCGCAGCTCCGCGAGGCAAGGCATCTGCAAGGCCGCGCAGACCGCTCTTGCGCCGGAGGCGCGCCCGATTCCAGCCAGTCCCCTCGAGCAGCGCTGCGGCCGCGGCCACGGGAAGGAAGCGGCTCAAGGCCGAGCAAGCGCCCTCATTCCCGTTCCCCGAGGGCGGGAGCAGGCAGGCTGCAGAGAAGCAACGCCCGGCTGCAGAGGCGCGGAAGCGAGGAAAAGCCGCTCCCCGGGGCGCCTTCCCACGCAGCGCGGCACACGCGTCACCGCCGCGGACAGCCGCCCCTCCCCGCCATCCCGGGCCGCCCCTCGGCCACTGCCGTCGCCCCGCACCTTGCCCTCGGAGTCCTGCTGTCCGTCCGCCTCCCGGCCCGGCCTCTGCCGGAGCTCGCTCATCTCGGCGCTGCGCCGCCCAGCCGCGGATGCTCCCGCGACGCCGCGCCCGCGTTGCGCCGCCGCCGCCGCCTCCTCCTCGAGCAGCAGCAGCAGCAGCAGCGCTCGCTGCCCAGGCCGGGGTGGAGGCGGGGCCAAGGCGGGCGGGCCAATCGCGGGCGGCGCGCGGCCGCGAGGGGCGGCACGTCCGGCGGCGCGCGGGCTCCCATAGAGATAAACGCTGCAGAGGTAGCTGGGGGCGGGCGCCGCTGCCTGGCTTGCCCCGAGCCGCGCCGCGCCGCGCCCCAGGGCGGAAGCAGCGCCGCCCGAAGCGGCCTCCCTCGGCCCGGTGCGCGGCGGACCTACGGGCTGCAGCCGCGGGACGCCCAGCCGGCTGGGCTGTTTCTGTTTCCACAGTGCGACGTGTCTGCCAGGCACCCGGCTGGGGAGAGAAACCAAGGATCTCTTTCGGATAGCCTTGGAGGAAAAGTTGGCCTGGTGTCGCTTCCGTAATCGGGGCAGGCGAGGCCATCCTATGCAGGTTTGCTCAGAAGCGCTTTTACTCGCAGGTAGTAAAGTATTCGAAAAGAATTTGCAAGCCTTAAGGTAAAGTCCTATTCGTGAAATCGCTGGCATCCCAGTTCTGCAAAGGGGAGAGCCCCTCCCCGCCCTGCACGTTCCTGAGAAAGTGTGGGCCACAACAGTCCTGCAGTGTAGGCAACGCTGCCGTCTATAGATGAGGGTTGTATTTCCAGCTAAGCCCCTAGACGGAAAGGCCTGTCCACTTCTAACAATAGTAAATCTCCTTTAACGGTCCCCTCAAACGACCCACCCACTGCACAACCCAGTTGCACCTGAAACTATTGCCTTGCCTGATTTTATTTCTATATCAAGCTCATTTACAGCAATTCATAGAATACAACAAAATGCAAGTTACAATGCATGTACCATAAAAATGCACTACATTAATTTAAAAAGCAAAATCCGACAACTAAAATAAGGACACAATCCGAGGGCTCCCTAACATCAAACAGGCAGAGGATTATTTGGAGCTCCAGCGCCAAAGAGAGTGGGTAGATCTGCTGCTTTTCACGACAGCTTGTTAGCTTTTGCATTGTGCTTGTCCTTAGGAACTGCTCACGGACAACACGCAATGCAAATCTCAAACATTCTGCCATGGCTATTAAACAGAACTTAGAAGCTACACTGACTGTAGCTCCTCCGTTCATCAATGCTTCCTCTCTTGGCCTCAATCTAAGTCTACAAGTTCGAGCATGACCAGGAGTAGGGAAAAAACCAATCCCTAACCACTTTCCACCCCATTATAGGCCTCCCTTGTCTGTCCTCCCCGCTTATTAACCGCCTTTTCGTTCTAAACTGAGAAGCACCAAGCGTCCCAACCCCTCCTCACAGAAAAGTTCCAGGCCCTTGAGGAGGTTGTTTTTTTTTTTTTTTTGCTTTCTCTAATGCTACCCTCCCAGTCCCGTGTGGTTGCCTCGCAGATTGGCTTTAACACTGGCTGTTGCATTTTTCATGCTTTTCAATATCCTTGGAACAGAAATTCCTTTTTGTAGCTGCGTCATCATCGACACCAAGGATGGGGAACCTCCTTTTACCCAAGGCCACAAACACTTCCGAGTCCTCACGGTCTTGGAAGGGGCATTCGGACTGCACAAAAGCCAGGAAACCACAAATGCCCCGTGCTGGGGCAAGACACGGGGTCAGGGAAGGTCAAAGGAGCGTGACCACCGGGGAGGGGGCATCAGCTTCCCCAGCCCGGTATGTGCTCGTCGTTCTACACCACTCTTCCCCCAACCTGGGGATGATGGGAGCAGTAATGCAACGCGCTTAGAGTTGTTCCATTTCCTCCCACCTTTAGAAATGCAAATACTCCCCAAATGAGATCACTGCAAGGCGCGAGGGGGGTGCCTGACATCCCCTGCAAGGCCGAGCCTCCCCAGCAACGCTCCGAGCGCCCTGCAAAGCACATGCCCGAGCAAGCCCACGCGCTCCGCGGAGCTCCCAGCCTCCACAAACACGCCGCAGGGACGTGACGAGGGCGCTGGGTTGGCTCCACGATACAGGCGCCCAAGCGGCAGGAGAAACACGGGCGCTGCATTGTGATTGGCTGAACGCGGCGAGACGTAAAGGCGGGACTCACTTCGGAAGGTCCGTTCGCGGGAGAACTCTGCAGCGCCTTTGTGCCGCTTAAGGAGGCGGGAGCGCCAGCGCGCATGCGTGGTTGGAGGGAGCGCCGCGCGCGCATCCGCTCCAAGGCCGGGGATTGGCCCGTGGCGGCGCGTGAGCACGCCCGAGGGCGTGTCGCGCCGCGTGGCCGTATAAAAGCTCTGTCGCCGCGCGCGACAGCGCTGCAGTTCTTCTTGGACGGATCTCCCTGCGGCTCGCCTGACTTCCTGTCCCCCGCCGCTCGACCGTGACAGGATGTTTGAGGCGCGGCTGATCCAGGGCTCGCTGCTCAAGAAGGTGCTGGAGGCACTCAAGGACCTCATCACCGAGGCCTGCTGGGACCTGGGCTCGGGCGGCATAAGCCTGCAGAGCATGGACTCCTCGCATGTCTCGCTGGTGCAGCTCACGATGCGCTCCGAGGGCTTCGACACCTACCGCTGCGACCGTAACATCGCCATGGGGGTCAACCTCGTCAGGTGAGACGCCCTCAGGGTCGGCTTCCCGCTAGAAGGGAGGCGAGGAGGGCGCGCTAGCCGGGGGCGCCGGGAAAGGTGCGCCCCGGCCGTGGGGGAACCGAGGTAGGAGTGGTTTGGGTGGGCTCGCGCGCCTGGCGGCCTCGGCCCCCGACTCAGTGGCGGGAAAAGCGGGCGCGAGGAGGAGGGGCGGGACCGTTTGCGGCGCTGGGCGGAAGGCTTTTGGCGCGCGCCCGCCGGCCCGCCCCGCGGATCCACGAAGCCCATTGGGCCGTGCTCACGGCACGGGCTCGTGTGCTCGCGCCCAATTGGTCGGCCGGGGCCGTTGTGGGTGTGGCTTGTCTCCGGGCCTGTTTGCCGATCGCTGCTGCGTGGAAGCCCCGAAGCGGGCGGAGGATGGAGGGGCTGGGCAGTGCACGGGGGCCTCCTGGCCTCGCGAAGACGCCCTGGCTGCGGCGGACGCGAGCGCTCCCTCCCCTGTTGGGAGCCGCCCCACTTCTGCTTCGGGCTGCCCTTAGCAGCGGGGGAGCTACCCCAAAAAGGGCCACCCAGGGTGGCTCTCTGTTCCCTCCCTGCTTGTGGTTTCCACTGCGTGGCTCATTTGCCTTACTGGGCATGCTGGTTCGGGTTCTCTGATGTCCGCTGATATAAGGGCTAGTTGATAAGCAGATGATCTGATCTCCCAAGTGTTGTTTATTTGGGATGGAGACAAGCCAATGCATTCCTAATGAAGCCTTTTCCTAAGTGCTGGACATGAGTTCTGCTCTTTCATTTTTAAAAATCATTTCAGTAATGCAGAATCTATTTGGAGAAGGAATCAATGAGCAGCAAAACAGATGTGCTGGTATCTACTGTAATTTTTTAGAAGATCTTTTGCTTGTTCTTCTCTATTCTTCCTTGGAGCACTAGTTTTTAATTACTCTCAAAGAGGAGCAGCCTCAGCATCTCAGCCAGCAGTTGGTGTCCTTCACCAGAATAAAAGTGTGATCTCCTTCAAGAGAAGTGCTCAAGTGGCCTGCTTGTCAAGAAGAGTAGCTGCATTTTGACAGGTTTATTTTGGCATTTGTCTAATCTCTGGCATCTGGCCAGTCTCTCCAGAGTTGAAGACACTAAATTTGTGGATGCTAGAATTCATTTGGCCGTGCAGCAGTTTAAATGGTTTAACTCCAGTTTCATTCTGGAGTGATGCAGCTTGTTGCCATTTTGGCATGAGCAGTCATTCATTTTCTTCTGGTCCATAACGCCCTCGTGGAATACTAATATAGTTGTTAACTTGTATGATATTATGTAGTAGCTAACCGTTGGCCTCTTTCCTCTAGTATGTCCAAAGTACTCAAGTGTGCTGGTAATGACGACATAATCACACTAAGAGCAGAAGACAATGCGGATACACTGGTTCTGGTGTTTGAGACACCAAGTAAGTAACTAAAATACTATATGAATGTTCTACCCTTTACAGGAACCAAATAGTTTTAACTAGAGGGTGTATGTTATTGATTAAGCATAGTCCTGCAATTTGCTGCTCACTTAGGCCAGGTTGCTTTCATGTGAGCTTAAACATCCAGGGCTTGAGCTTGCTGGTGGCTATGGTTGCCAACCTTTGTTTCCAAAATGGTGGCCTTTCAGCCTCAGTGTTCTGAGCAGATGTGCATTTACATAGCCTCAGATGTGCTGCAAATGCTGGTACTGAGAGCCAGTGTGGTGTGGTGAAGAGCATGGGACTGGGACTCAGATGATCTGGATTCTAGTCCCCGCTCAACCATGGAGCCAACTGGGTGACTTTGGGCCAGTCACAGACGCTCAGCCCAGCCTCCCTCACAGGGTTGTTGTGGGGATAAGATGGAGGAGGAGAATGATGTAAGCTGCCTTGAGCCCTTTGTAGGAAAAAGGCAGGATATAAATCGAAAAATAAATAAATTGTCTGGCACTGATGCTGATGGGAGAGACAGTGGATTATTAGACAAGAGTATAAACTTTCCTACATAATAGACCAAGCTACTCGGGCATACAGCTCTTGCCTACCTAAGCTAGTTTTGGAGTACAGATGAAGTTCTTCCCTCTCAGATGCCTGGTGTGATAATTGTGCAAAATTGGTAGTTTGGCGCAATTTCAAGAGCCTATCCATTAAGACACTGCATTCTTGCAACAAATACAAATTTTCTTATTTCTAATGTTTCGATACCCTCAAGACCTAGAAGTGTGCCAGAAGCAAAATTTTAAGTTACTCTGTAACATTAGTGAAGATGGGATTTTGTCACAGGATTATACATTTCAGTCTCTCTCCTACAGAGAAGTATACCTTCAGGACCATGGCAGGAAAGAGTGATAGCTATTGAGCACTAATGTTTTGTTGGGAAAATTATTTTGCTTGTGAGAGGATACCTTAAAATGTAAAAAGACTCATATTTGACTGCTGTTTCATTTTTCCTTAGATCAAGAGAAAGTCTCTGACTATGAAATGAAGTTAATGGATTTGGATGTAGAACAGCTTGGAATCCCAGTAAGTCTGCTTTGGATTTAGTGTTGTAATCAAGATAAACATAAGGCTTTATTCTATCAAAATACACTCGTTTTCAGGAAAAGTGTATTCCTTGTTAAAGAATGTCAGTGACTTTTTGAAAGCATCCATGTATAGCTCATGGTTGCCCTTCATCAAATATTTCCATTTCTAACCAAGTAAGAATGCAAACAATAAGGGGTTTGAAATTAGGTCAGAAGAGACTCTTAGGCTGAATAATGCAAATTATGCTTGATTTCATAGAAAGATGCACATTCATTTATTCATCACCTCAAATATTTGCAGTAAGTTGCTAACATTGTTTTGCTAGTGGCATTGGTTCTTGAAGCATTTCATGTTCTACAACACAACCATAAACTAGATGGAAGAATACCTTAACCTGGATTGTTTCTGCAAAAGTTGCATATTGTGTAAAGGCTGTTCAACGGAGGATTAACAGGGCTCTGGTGTTCTTTCAGGAACAAGAATACAGCTGTGTGGTGAAAATGCCTTCTGCTGAATTTGCTCGTATCTGCAGAGATCTTAGCCACATTGGAGATGCTGTTGTAATCTCTTGTGCAAAAGATGGTGTTAAATTTTCTGCTACTGGAGCACTAGGAAGTGGAAACATTAAACTGTCACAAACAAGTGATGTGGATCAAGAAGATGAAGCTGTAAGTCATAAAGTTTAGCTGTGTGCTACAGGGTTGTATCCAATGTTAGTGTGACTTGAGTATGTTTTCTCAGTGGTCTATTGTAAGTAGAACTAACATTGGGCACAAGTAGAGATTTATTTCTTTTCCACAATCTTTGGAATAGTTTAGAATGTGTCTCTTGGAAGAAAAACAAACTTGAGAGACTAGGAGGAATTTAACTGCTTCTAAAATCACTGAATAATTGAAACAGTCTGCTGTAGAATTCATGTGGTTTGTTACAGGTTGCAATAGAGATGAATGAGCCAGTCCAGCTGACTTTTGCTTTGCGATACTTGAACTTCTTCACCAAAGCCACACCTTTGTCTCCTACAGTTACACTCAGTATGTCTGCAGATGTTCCACTGGGTAAGTGCAGTCTCTTGAAGTTTCATCAATAAACTTAATACATTTTTACAAACACATTTAGTATGACTGACTAAATCCTTTGTCTCTGCAGTGGTGGAATACAAGATAGCAGACATGGGACACCTGAAATACTATTTGGCTCCAAAGATTGAAGATCAGGAAGAATCTTGAGACTTTAGGGGAAGAATCATGGTTCTTGTGGAAGACCAACCTAGGCTGAAAGCCAGTGTACCATTTCATGTGTCAGCCTTGGTGCACAGATTGATCATGTATGCACTTAGGCCAAATTGTAGATATTTCTGTGTAAATACTTCTTTGCATTTCTTATGCAAATACATTTTCTAAAATAGTCTTTCTTATCTGCTACCCGTATTCATTTTTATTACTAAACTTAGCTCCAAGAAGAAAGGGGGTGCAATATTTAAAAGGATGAGTGATTTCTATGGTAATCTCTCATGTTGAGGTTGCTGTTGACTAATTAAAGCAATGATGCTTAGAGAAAATTGCTTTTAGTGATCTGCCTTTAAATGGTAACCTTCAGAAATGACCATTTAATAAAGAATATTCCATGTTTCAGCTTCCTTTCAGCATGATTTGTAATTATGTGTCATCAACCTGCCAGATATTTATCCTATTGCATTTAAATTTTAACCTTTGGAACTGCAACTACAGGACTGGAGGATACATCAAAATGATTCATACAAGTTACTTCCTTTTCCTCAGTTGCTGGTTTGCCAAAGAATACTTGCATATCTAGGTTTTGTAATGTCATTGAAAAGTAATTGTTAATCTAAAACAAATTGAAGCAGATGGTATACCTAAGGTTTACACTGAAGTGGAGGTGATAAAAGAATACACTGTCACTTAAGTTGTGACAAACCAGGTTTAGGCTAGATATCGGGAAAACCTTCCTGTCAGGGTAATACAACAGTGGGGGAACCAGTTGCCTAGTTACCTGCAACAGCAGGCAGTTGAACCTGATGCCTTTTTCGGCCCTTTCCAGGGCTGCTATTCTATGGTTCTGTGATCCTAGAAATGCAAGCTGACACTTTCCTAAGCCTGCAGGGAGCTTACAGTACAAAAGCGGGGCAGGGGATATAGGGAAATCCTCTTACTTAAAGTTTAGGTGTTAGAAATGATTACTAATACTACCAGAAAAAATGGCTTTGATGGTAGATCAGAAAGAAATTGTTGTCAAGCCATGTTGCACATGGGTCCTCAAACTACGGCCCATGGGCTGGATCTGGCCCGCCATGCCCATTTATCCGACCCGCCTCAGGTTTTGGACTTGCCGTGCCCACGTGTGCCCACCACCGCCTCACTGCATGTGTGGCAAAACTGCAGCTTGCTCACGCAGAGATAGTTTTGGACTTGGAGAAGATCTTCAAGCGTGCTAGCTGCTGCGGCGCCACACGCACCTGCCACTACCTCACCTTGCTGCACACACATGAGCGCACCCTCCCGCCTTGCTGACCTGTGCCCACCACTGGCACCTGTCAACTGGCCCCCTGTTGAAAAAGTTTGAGGACCCCGATGTTCCAGGTTTGGAAGCTTATGCAGCATCTGTGTCTGAAACTAATTCACCCGTGTCCAGGGTGACCTGTGTGCTTCAGGGCAGTGAGGGATTCAAAAATGCAAGTCACTGTTAGATCTTCCTGCTTGGCAGCATTTGCAGTCATCTGCAGTCAAAATGTCTCCTGGGGCACTTTATGTAGAGTAATAAAGTCCCTGCCCTCATTTGTGCAATCTAGAAGACTGGAGGGAAAAGAAAAGGTGATTGCGGGGGACAAATGAAATTTCAGTCTCCACTTCTCAGTTGCTAAGGTTTAATGGGTGTTTCTGCCAGGAAAGGGGGGACCCAGCTCCTTGCAGCTGTGGCCAGTGCTTGGAGTTAGGCTGGTGTTCCCCCTGGTCTGGTTCCCCCTGCAGAGCAAGGTGTGTGTCCTTACCATGGCCCTTCATTTTCTGGCCTCTGGATGAGGCTGGTTTCTCCAGCCCCAGGGACCTATCAGTTGGACTGAATCCGGGCTCCTTTTCTGGTACCAGCCCTGCTTGGGCTGCATAAGACTGGCAAAGATGGTAATACTGAAGGAAGGAGCAAGACCGGAGGAGGTTGCAGCAGTCCTGATGGGAGAAGACCAGAACATTTAGGAGACTTAAAAGAACCCTATCCTGTGTAGCATGCATCTTTTAAAACGAAAAAATCAATAGATGTGATAAATAATTACATTTTAAGTGTTAACTTAGGAGTAGATTTGATTATTTTAAAGGGGACTTCCAGGCTACCTTTTGGAGGAGACCAGAGCTAGCATGTAAAAAGGAAAGCCACAAAACAACGAGAAACCGAAACCAGGTGTCGGCACCCACCTGATCGCCTAACGTGGCTGAATCCAAGTGGAGACAAAAAGGTAAGTCTTGAGCTCACTAGAGTGGAGGGGCACAACTGAGGAAGGCTCTTGTGGTCGTGTTTGCCTGCCCAACTGGTTTTATGGACACACACACACACACACACACACACACGAATAAAAGGGCTGCTTCTACCTTGATCCTAGTACTTCATGCAAACGTGAAAGGGCAAACGCTAGTACAGTGGTACCTTGGCTCACAAACTTAATCTGTTCCAGGACTCTGGTTGTGACACAAATTGGTCGTGAGCCAAGTTAAATTTCCCCATTAGGTTCAATGTAAATAAGATTAATCTGTCACCATTTTTTATACCACAAAAATTTGAAACTAAGTGACAAAGAAAGATTGCAGCCATCTCCCCACCCCCACCCTGAGCACAAGCATGGTGATCTCCCTGCACCCCCAGCATGACCGCAACTGCACCGTCATGCCTGCATGTGCCCCTCATCCTGGCTTGCTGGGGCAGGTAGAGACGGGCGTGAACGCGGGCGTGCTCTGGGGGAGACAGGCACGATCACCCTGTGGGGTGGAGATGGCCAAGATTGCGGTTGCACTTATGTAGGAAAGACGGGCGCGATCTCGGCCATCTCCCCACTCTGGGTGGCGGGGCGGGGGTGAGATGGCCGCAACCACGGTCGCCACCCAGTGCGGAGTTCACGACCCGAGTCAACATTTTTATGACATTTTTGTTCACAACCCGATTTGGCCGTGAACCTGAGGCACTCTGTACGTTAAGCAAGATCAGGAGGTGCATGGATGCTGCACGATACAGCCTAGTCCTCGGCTATGTTTTGTGACAGTTTCACACTGACGAACTGTAACTCGGAGTAATGCATGCGCGCCTCGCTCTCGCAAAGGGCGCTGCTGGAGCCGCCTTGGCTTCGTGTGGACTCTGAAACGCTGCGGGGGCAGGGCTGGCCTGGGGCCCCATGCATCGGCGGCTGGGCGGCCGCAGGCGCCCAGCTCGGGGCCCGAGGCCAGCCCGGCGCTGCTCCGGCGACGCGCCGTCCGCGGCCCGCGCCCCGCAGCGCACGGCCAGGCGCCCTGCCGCACCGGGGCCCCGCTCCCTGCCGGTGGAGGCGCCTGGCCGTGCGCTGCGGGGCGCGGGCCGCGGACGGCGCGTCG